GTGGAGCGCGGCCCAGAGGCAGGGCGAGGCGGCCAGCGCCCGCCAGGCGCGGCAGGTGGCGGCGAGGGCGGCGCGGTCGCGGTAGCCGAGGCGCGCGAAGAGGTGCAGCGTGGCGTCGTCCGGGAGCGCGGTCCAGTCGAGCGGGTGCGGGTGCGGATGCGGATGCGCCGCCGGGCCGTCCCTGGCGGCGCGGCGGCGCAGGCGGCGCGTCATGGCCGGCGGCGAGGCGGGTGGCCGATCTAGTCCGGCCGGGTCAGGTCGGGTCAGCTGGGTTTCACGCTTCCCACTGCAGGAGGTCCGACCCCGAGGCGAGGGAGGGGGAGGGGGATAGGGGAGGGGAGAGGGACGGCATGGCCGACACCACAAGAGAGAGAGAGAGAGATTCGGAGGAGAAGACCATGACCCAACATAAATACCTACTTACCACTCCAAATTATATACACACACAAGTAAAATTGCAATACCAAAATGAAATATACTTTTTTTAGAACACACGCATATCCTACCCCTATGAGCATCTTCGATGGACGGAGCCGGCATATCTCTTAGATCGATGAAGTCACATAGGCGGCTCTTAGTACAATAATGCAAGAACCAGGACTTAACCCCGGTGGGTGGGGATACCACTGTCCTCCTAGCCATCCAATCACGGGTTGGTTTGCATTAAAATGAAGTATTTGTAGTACATGTGTGTGTAGAAGCGTGTTAAGTGTTTGTGCTAGGAATTTGAGTTCTTTGTATGGGAGGTTTAAGCATGTGATTCTTCTTGAGTTTGATTATATTTTTTTTAGCTATGTTCATGTTATTTTTTATACTATTATTATATAGTTTTCGTGTATTTTTATAAAATTTTATTTATTGGACTTACATGTTAATTCAATGTCCAATGTCAGTTATTGTTTTCTACATATTTTTGGATTTTTCAAAAAAACATTTTCACAAGAAAGAACCAAATAAAAATATGTTGCAGAGGTTGAAGTCTGACACCAGCAACCAGAGAAGCACTGGGGAGCTTCGTGAGGGCAAAACAAGGCCGTGGCCCGCCCAGCTCCGGAGACAAATAATACTCTTTTGTACATGTAACTGCTTAATCCAATAGCATGTCTCCCTCGCATCCAGCTATGAGCTCTCTGGCCCGATTCAGCACTGAGCAAGCCACTTACAGATGAAGAGGTCCAATAGCCAGGCAGTCGGCCACCGCATGTAGCAACCCCTACGGTGACCCATCCCCATGCCACGACGGGCGTGGCCATGGCGGCTGCCAGCGGCTAGCCACCAATGAACTAACCAGGCGACGAGCACAAGACCATAGAACCAGCAGGCAGATAGCACACAAGAAATTTCATTTATTTGTCCAAATTTTACTTGACAACATCATCCTGTTACCAGTTTCCCTATACAGGCAACCTGAAATTTCACTAACTCATGCCTACTTAACTGTATGGTTTAGAAAAAAATTGGCCCGCCCAACTTATTTGTTGTAGCTCCGCCACTGCAGAGAAGCACAAGAGGGTAGCCCTAGGACCCCCGCACGGCCTGGACCTGTGCCGCGTGGAGCCCAGGGACCTCTCGACATGCCTGCCTCTATATATACCTAAAAGTTGTCGTCATATTTTTATCATTTTTTCATTATCGCTTCCTGATTCGAGGCGATCTTCATTTTAGCCATTTTTTCGGCACCTTGCGGGAGGGGAATTCATATTCTTCGGCCTCTCCATCATCCCTTGTTGCTCATATGATGATGGGGGGGGGGTACTCCATACTCCTCTCTTGGAGCTGAGGGTTTTGTGGCAGTAGATATGTGTTCATCTCTCTCTTTCTCTTGCTCTCTCTCTGTCTCCCTCCCTCCCACTCTCTCTCTCTCTCTCCCTTGATCATGTAAGTTTTCAATCTTGATTGTGATAATGGAGTTTGAGCTATGTGATGTATTCCCTTCAATTCTCTTGGAGTTGGCTTCACGAGTTTCCTTATGTTGGATTGAGTGTTTTGAAAATCAATGAGATTGTGTAATGCATATATCTAGTTTAATTTTCGGAGACACCAGTAGTGGCATTGTGGTTTCTCTGTGGATTAAGATTAGAACGATAAAGATCATGGGGTGATTGTATAGTATAGTTTGTGGGCCTGGCTTAGGTGATATTTGGGCGTACCCTATGGATTAAGGTTAGAAGATTAACTTAGAGGTGTGCTTAACTATACCTACAAGATCTCATCCCACTTTGATCTAATATAAAGAGGAACTTTTTATGTGATTCTTTACCAAATGTCTTGATGATATATCATGTCTTTAACTACGTTAATGATGTTGAGAGTTGACACTAGTGAATGTATAAACCCTAAGCCTTGAAACGTCATTTTACTCACCTTTTTCTATTTGTTACCTTGTTGTCCATACTTATTTTGAAGATAAAATGATATTTTTATCATCCAAATTACCGTCCTCTTTGTCAAACTAGTGCACCTATGCAATTGAAAATTGGATTAGGTGTGTTGAGGACACAAGAGACTATTTATATATTGATTTCAGGGTTGTTTGAGAGGGAATACTTTCAACCTACACCTCTCACGGGTTGATAAAACTTAGGGCATCCACTTAGAGGAAATTGTTGTTGACCTAAATCATCTTGCCAAGATTTAGGTCTAGCAGCCTCCAAGTTGGCAAGAAAGATACAAAAGCTCATTCACGAAGAGAGCCTCAGGAAAACATGTGAGTTTACACCTAGCACTACAACCTCGTCACGCACAAACACCACCTGCCCGATGGTCACATGTGATAGAAGGACAACGATATCTACACCTCCACACTCCATGAAGGCGAGTGGCTGGCTGGGCTCCAATGCTGGTGGTGAAGGTCTTGTGGCCATCGCCGAGGCCCCAAGCGAGCCCAACATTGAAGCCATGACCGCAATGTTGATCTCACTCCCAGAAGCAATCAAAACAACAGGCACAATAGCGGGCAAGGTCTAGCACGAGGGTAGAAACCTACATAGAGACATGTCTCACTCTCATCCATGGAACTAACCCGAAGCTCAGACAGCGGAGATACAACATACACAACCAAGAGTTTGCCAAGAGCGGCCTCCGCTCTCATCTAAAGACTCCCAACACGCGTCACGTCCACGAAGCTCGGTGCAGAGCAGATCAACTGGATCCATGGGTGCAAACTGCAATGGCACGTCTTCCAAGCTTCTGCACTGTATTGGGTCCCTGCACTCGTGGGTACAATGGCCTTTGGATAGGTACCGGAAGCAACGGTCTCCAGCCACACCGGGAGAGCCGGACGCGTGATGAAATCATGGCAACGAAAGGCCGCAAAAGCATGCTGAGGGTATGTGCTAGGATTTTGAGTTATTTTGTATGGCATGTGGTTCTTCTCATGTTTAATTATTATTTTAAGCTATGATATTGGCATTTTCATCATTATTATATACTCTTGGCATCTTTTATACAATTTTATTGGATTAACCAATTAATCCAGTGCGCACTGCAAGTTACTATTTTCTGCATTAGATCTTACAGAAATTTTTTCCTCCAAGACCAATAGTCAAATAAAATTATATTTCGGGAGCCGAGAGCAACCCAACGGTGCCGGAAGTACCGCCGTCACGGCGAACTTGCGGGGAGCCATCTTGAGCAGCAAAGCAAGGCAGTAAAACCGGGAGAGCAGAGGGTGCATGACGACAAGACAAAGGATTTGGGCTTGCACGGGGCGGGCGCTTACCCCGCGACGAACACATGCCTCCCCATCTGCCCACTAATGGCTAGGTTGAAGCTGGGAGAGGCGATACTAGCTATGGAGAGCGTGGCAACGGCGCTAAAGTGGCATCCCGAACAACAGATCAAGGTCATAAAACTGGGAGAGAGGAGAGGGCGCGCGATGAAGGCACCAAAAGCGAGCGAGATGGGAATGTCCGCCTCCGCGAGTCCGTCCAATGCCGTCTAGGTGAGCCGGTACACCACATCGACAAAAATCAGGACCCACATGTCGGAAACATACTCAAAACGCTCTAATCTATCGATCAGTGTTTATGCAAAAAGTTTACCGTAGATGTGATGTTTTTGCCACATTTTTAAAAAGGAGTGATTTTTGCATACCTAGCCCTCAACGTAGTGATTTCTGCATTTGACCATGTACTATTGTCGTAGTAATGTTGCCAGTTTTCTGAAATTCATTGACATTTTTTGAAAATTCAAGAACATTTTTCGAATTTGTGAAATGTTTTTAAACCTTACAATATTTTTTGAATTTGAGAACATTTTGAATTTTGTTTTTTAATTCATGAACATTTTTTAAAATTTAGTACCTTATTTGAAATCCCGAACTATTTTGAAGATGAAAAAATAAGAGAGCCCGCCCCGCACTAGGCCGGCCCGAGTTCCCACGCGGGGGTGAGCCAGGGATGCGCGTTACCTCGCTTCCCATGGTAAGCCAGGTGGCCCCTATACGGCGCGTAGATCGCCGCAGAGGGAATTTCCTATTTGCCGCTCGTTGCGGCAAGTTGCCGGAGAAATGCACAGGCAAGCGGCCTATCAACGCTACTGGACCGGCCCATTTGAGTAGATCACATTGGCACTACCCCTTCGGTTTTGGGAAGGTTCCCTGAACCGTCTATTTTCTTTTTCTCCGGTTTTTTGTTTCTTTTTTTTCTTTTTTTGTGTGGTCGGGTTTTTCTTTTTCATTTTTATTTTATTTTTTCTTTTTCCAGAAATGTTCAATATTATAAAAAAGTTCAAATTTTGAAAAATGTTTTTGTTTTCAAATTTTGTTCCCAAATCTAAAAATGTTCCTTATTTTGAAAATGTTCCTGTTTTGTGGTTTCAAAAAATGTTTGTGGTTCAAATTTTTGTTCACAAATTCAAAAAATGTTATTGTTTTCAACATTTGTTCACAAATTCAAAAATTGTTCGGGGAGTTTCAAATAATGTTCGGGCTTACAAAGTTTGTTCGGAATTTCAAAAATGCTTCTTCTTTTTCAAAAAAATTGTTCACAAATTCAAAATACTTTTGTGGTTTCTATTTTTTGTTCGTCTTTTTCAAAAATGTTTGAAATTCCAAATTTTGTTCCTCTTTTTTAGAAGTGTTTGGAGGTTCAAATATTGTTCGTTCCTTTTACAAAAAATGTTTCGGAATCTAAAACTAATAGAATTTTAAATTTTAAAAATGTTTGCATGTTATGTTTTTTCACAAATTAAGAAATGTTTACGATTTTCAA